CCACGTGTGAGGGGCCACATGGCACAGAACCACAGGGCTCCTAGGTACTGAGAGCAGCCCTGGCCCACAGCCAGCAAGGGACGGAGGACCTCAGTCGTACAGCCATAAGGAACCAAGTTTTGCCAACAACTGCAGGAAACTGGAAGAGGATCTGGAGCTCCAAGAAGGACACTGTCAGGCCCAGACCTTGATGATAGCTTGGGAGACCCCAAGCAGGGGACCCAGTGAAGCCTGGATGGACTGACAGACACTATGAGATCAAGGTGCACTGGTTTACACTGCTAGGTTTGTGGTCATTACTTGCAAGCTTAGATAACTCACACACGTTAGTAGTCAGGAGCGTGGTTACCCTTAGCGGGGGCTGCAGGGAGTGAGTGGAAGGGGCCAGGAGGGCCTCTGGGGAACTGACCCTGTTCTGTTGGTGAGCTGGGTGCTGAGTACCCAGAAATGGTCAGTGTGTGAGAGCTTCAATGAGCTGGATGCTTCCAACACGTGCACCTTTCTGCACATTTTACCTCAATTACATTTTTTAAACAAACAAGCTCTATTTTTAAAAATCTCAATAAAAGCCTTGTTTAAATATTATAGCTTTGTTTTGAACTCTTAGAAACTGAATCTGGCTGCATACTTGCTGATGAAATGTGTCAAACTGCCGGCTGTGCTGGTGTCCACGCCGTCATCCCATGGGGTCCAGAGTGGCTGTGGAGCTGAGTGCTGACCCTGGCCGTGACTCTGGCTCTGCCCCTGACAGCTCCAGGGCCCTCCCAGTCCCTTGTCACCTCTGGTGTAAATGTCCCCACTATAGGGATCGAGCCCATCCCCACCCTGCTCAGAGGGGCAGGGCACTGACAGGACTTGACCTCTGCCAGGACCACAGACCGACTGGAAATCTCCCAACTTGTGGGGGTGGACATGACTTCAGATACTGGTCTGTGGCCCCAAGGGTGACTGGACGGTTGCAAACTGAGGCCAGATCTGCCACTTACTGTAAATCTGCTCTCTGCCAGGAACTCTGATAACAATCACAACAGTTAGCACCTCATTACTGTTCGGATGCCTCAGGCTCGATTCTGTGCACTTACCACATTAGCTAGTTTAATCCTCGCAACCACCTTGAACATCTTCATCCCCATTTTACAGACGAGGCCACTGAGGCACAGAGAAATGAATTAGCATGTGTAGGGTCACACAGCTGATAAGCGGAAGAGCCAAGAGTCAAATCTGGGCGTTAGGGTTCCAGGGTCTGCATCAGACCCGCTCTGCCGTCATCTTTCTCTTACTGTAGTAGGTTCTTTTCTTTTCCACTGATGCACAGTCAGTTTACAAGGTTGTGCTAACTTCCAGTGTGCAACAGGTTCTTGATATCTTGTTGTTAAACTGAGGTGAATTCACACAACACACATTTAAGCCTTCTGAGGTACGCGCTGCAGTGGCATTTAGCATATACACAGCGTTGTACAACCACCACCTCAATCTAGTGCTGTATTTCCATCACCCTTACCCATCACAGTCACTCCCCCATTTCCCCGCCAACAGCCCCTGTCAACAACGACTCTGTTTCCCACCTGCGTGGGTTTTCCTATTCTTGATATTTCATAGAAATAGGATCATATGACACGTGGCTTCTTTCACTGAGCATGTGTTCGAGGCTCATTCATGTTCTAGTGTGTGTCAGTACTCCACTCCTTTTCATGGCTGAATAATATTCCATTGTGTGGGTGACATGTACTACATTTTGTTTATCTACTTTTATTCTTTTTACCCCCCACAATTTCTCCTCACTTCACAGAGGAGGGAACCAAGGGTGAACGATGAGTTTGGGGGGCGCTCAGAAGGCAGAGTTCATCACAACTTAGATCTGCAGAGCAGCTGACGTGGGAGCCTCCCTTGGCAGCTGTCCTCCTCCCCGACACTGTCTCACCCTCTAGGGGTCCTGGAGGGCCGGCTGCTGACCCCACAGGACCCTGCTCCTAGGGGCTGACTTAATCCTACGGAATTGCCTCATTGAGAAAGTCGTGAGAAAGTCGTGCTCCTCATTAACATGAGGGGCATGTGTTTAGAGACACGTACAGGGCGTGGTGGGGAGCATGGTGTGAGGAGCAGATGTAGCCACCGGGTGGGTAAGAACAGGGGAATCAGAGCGATTTTGCCAAAAGAAACCCGGGACAGATAAATGAAAACTAAAGAAATAAGCGAGCAGAGTGCAGGGGTGGGTGGGGTGGAAGGCAGAGGGATGGAGACTGGAATTCTGAGTATGACTTCTGTAATTTTGACTTTTGAACCGTGTTAATATTCTGCACATTCAGCAAAGATGGGGACAAACCTGAAACTGCACAAATGGAGGCAAATGCCTGCACCTGCTCACATGGACCACGTCAGGCTGGTAACATAGCCACACACAGGAGAGCACTTAATTGGAGTAGTTTTTGAGCACAGAGCCCATTCCCCCCTCGGTGGGACACATTCCAACAGGAAGACCAGTGGAGCAGCCCTGAACTTCAGTAGCTTTGATGTCAGTAGCAGCGGGGGAGCGGTTTACAGAGCCGGTCCATGTATACCACCAGCTCGAAAAACCAACGCAACGTGGGAGAAAGGGGATGCACACGTGGGGGGAAGAAGAAAAGAAAACAAACAGTACAATCAACATCACCACCTCCGTCCACGACGGGCAGAGGGCCTAGCCACGCACTCCTCCAAAGAAGACACACAGACGGCCAGCAGGTGTGTGAAACTATGCTCAGTGTCGCTAATGACCAGAGACGTGCAAATCAAAGCTACGATGAGGGATCACCTCACACCAGGCAGAATGGCCATCATTCAAAAGTCCACAAACAATAAACGCTGGAGAGGCTGTGGAGAAAAGGGGACCATCCTACTCTGTTGATAGGAATGTAGTTTGGTGCAGCCACTGTGGAAAACGGTATGGAGATTCCTCAAAAAACCAAAAATAGACTTACCCTATGATCCAGTAATCCTACTCCTTGGCATATATTTGGAAGGAATTCTAACTCAAAAAGATGCATGCACCTCAATGTTCATCGCAGCACTATTTACAACAGCCAAGACATGAAAGCAACCTAAATGTCCACTGACAGATGACTGGATAAAGAAGTTGTGAAATATATATACATACATATTTATACAATGGAATACTACTCAGCCATAAAAAAGAATGAAATAATGCCACTTGCAGCAACATGGATGGACCTGGAGATCATCATTCTAAGTGAAGTAAGCCAGAAAGAGAAAGAAAAATACATATGATATCATTTATATGTGGAATCTTTTTAAAGAAAAGGGACACAAATGAACTTATTTACAGAACAGAGACAGACTCACAGACACAGAAAACAAACCTATGGTTACCAGGAAGGAAGTGGGGTGGGAAAGGATAAACTGGGAGTTCAGGATTTGCAGATACTACTGTATATAAAATAGATAAACAACAAGGTCCTACTATACAGCTCAGGGAACTATATTCAGTACCTTGTAATGGCCTATAACGAAAAAGAGTATGAAAAGGAATATATATCCATGTATAAACAAATCGCTCTGCTGTACACCAGAAATAACACGACATTGTAAATCGACTACACATCAATTTAAAAAAAAAGATAATAAAATAAACCAGAGACTAGAGAAACAACATGTGTGCTTTGTATAACTAAACGGTCAGGCAATAATTCCAATTCTATATATGCAAGTGAAAAGAATTCAAATTTCTTAGTCTCAAAAAAAAAACTGCATCTGCCCATATCTGTATGAAGGCATGAACAGCTAAAATATTTACGGACAAATTATTAAATTCACATATTTCAGCTGTGTGATAGTTCTGGGGCCAAATAAGAGTCTGAAATAGAATAGAATTTCAAGGAAATATCATAGAAGCCACTGCAAAGGAAGAACCTAAAATCCTCAGCCTTTGGGGTAAACGACGTCGCGTGGCCTTGCCGGCAGCGGCACCCATGTGACTTGGCAGGCTCACTCCTGCTCCCAGTGTCCCTTCCTCAAACACCCAAGACCACGTGGAGCAGGGAGGCCCCCTTCAGATTACAGAAGCAGCTCTGCAAAAGCTGTGGAGAGAGAGCAGGCGGTGCCCTTGGGAGCCAGGGCTTGGGCTCAGCCTGAGCTGAAACCGAAGCATCCCCACAGTAAAGGATGGCCAGGTGTGACAGGAGGTCAAGGAAAGCCCAGGTCCCATCACCACGATAGTTCTCAACCTCCGCTGCACGCAGATGCTTAGAAAATTCCCAGTCCAATGAGACCTGCCCAGGGGGCGGGGCAGCTTCTAAAAGCTGCCAGGTGAGTGAGTGCAGGTGCAGTCCAGGTGAGAGCCTGGTCTTAAACCCATGGAAGTCCCTGCCCCCCCACACACTCCGCCCCACCACTGCCCTGCCCGCTCCCGGGGATCACACATCACAGATGCACCCGTCAGAGGCCCCGTGTCCCAGAGCAGGCGCTCATCACGGGCAAACAGCTGCACAGACACTCAGACTGACCTCCCTCGGGGCTTTGGGCTGGACCATCACCGCCATCTCTGGTGCACTGACGAAGGACCACTTGATCTGAATGTCCTCTCTCTTCTCTTGCATGTAGAGCTCCAGCTATTTCAGAGAGAGAGAGAGAGAGATTATCGGAGGCCCACTCTCTCCACCGGAACCTCTCCGTGTGTCTGTGTATGTTTCTTAGACACCTGTTTCTCCCCGCCCCCTGGCAGAATGTGTGCTTTCAAAATGGACAGGAGAGCCCCAGATCCCCTGGCCTGCCTCGCACCATGGACCCCACCCCGTCCCTGCCGGCGCCTTCCTCTGCCTCCGCCTACCACTCAGGCAGGAACCTCAGGGTCGGGGCTGAGGGCCAGATGCCACAAAATCCCACAGCCTCTTACATGACGAACCCTCTGCTTTGCAGCTGTCTTCTGAGAGCATCACCAAGGTGGAGCAGAGACAGAGGGACAAACAGAGGGGAGCCGGCATGCCCTGTTCAGCCCCAGACTCCTGTGGTCCCCGAGGGCTGGGGACACAGCACCCCAGCTCCTATACTCTCTTCCCTGGGCTGCTGGGCAACTTCCAACTGGACTCTGATCCCTCCTAACGCCCCATCCAGCCCTACACACCTGTCATGACAATGACAGAGTAACGTGCCCCCAGCGATGTCCACACCTCTGTCCTTGGAACCTGTGAACCTGTCACCTTGCCGGGAAAAAGGGACTTTGAAGATGTGATTAGGGTGAGGACCTGGAGGTGGGGAGACAGTCCTGGGTTATCCCCGTGGGCCCCATGGAAGGATGTGAGCCTTTAGAAGGGAGAGCTCGCCAGGGAGATGTGACTTGCAGGCGGAGGGGGTCACCAGGACCCCAGGAGTGACGTTGCCCCTACTAGCTGGAAACCGCCCTCAGCTGACAGCCCGTAAGGAGTCGGCCCTCAGTCCTACAACCCTAAGGAGCTGAATTCTGCCAACAGTGGGGGAGCAAGAAACAGATTCTCCCCCAGAGCTCCTGGAAAGGAAGGCGGCCCACCGACACCTGGGCTTCAGCCTGTGCTGGACATCAGACCTCCAGAAACGTGTGCTCTTTTCAGCTAAGTTTGTGGAAGTTTTCTCCAGCGGCCAGAGCAGACTAACACACCTCCCTTCTTTCTTTGGCTGGAGACTCTTTCTAAAGCCCAAATCTCGACTCTTCACCCCCTCATCCCTCCACCACCGCCCAGGAGAAGAGAAGGGGAAGACTGCCCCAGACACGATTTCTGGGTCCTCGGGACGCCCGTCTCAGGCCCGCAACCGGGTAAAAGAAACGACGCTGCACCTTGCCCTGTGGTTCGAGGCGACTCCAGCAGCAGGGCTCTTTGATTTCGCTGCCACCACCCCCAAGTCCCGCCCACCACGTGGGGGACAAGGGGCAGCTGCTGGTTTCTTTTTGCACCTTTTGTCTGAGAAACAACAGAAAAGGGGACTGCCTCCTGCCTGAAGCATCAATAATTTACCAGCCTCTAGCAGCCGCTTCTGCTTGGAGAGGTAATCCCCAGGCCGCGTTTAACCATGTTAAGAAACCAAAGATACAGTTGTGTCACCTGCGTCTGGGCTGCGTGAAACGGCACACAAACGGCATCTCAGAAACGACGGTTCCTCGGTGAATGGACTCACCCCACCCCCAAAGCTGTGTCATGTTGGGTACGTGTGTCCCACACTTCAAAATTAGCTTTTAATCACACTGCCCCCCAGACTGGGGGGAGCAGGACGGCTCTGACAGCTGACAAGTCCACGAGGTCAACTGAACCTCTTGGATTCTAGACACTCAGAAAGGGAGTGTTACCGGGGTGGGGGTGGGAGGCTAGGTTTCAGAGAAAAGCCATTTAGGGAGCCAGAAATTCTCGTTTGCACTGGGTATTTAAAACCGTGTCTTTTTAAGGAAAGCCTACAGAATATCATTCTCCCTTGTGGCTGGCAATCCTGTATGACTTGGGCTCATCCCCCAAACCAGCAGTCAAGCACAAGGACAGAGGAGAGGAGACACCAGCTTGAATTGGCAGTGACCCCTAAAACACACCCAGAAATTCACAAATTTTACACACCCGAAAAACGAGAGCTTCACGTGTGAGACACACAGTTACCTGATGGTTCGAGCATTGAGAATTTTCACTGGTAAGTCTACTATAATTACTATATACATCTCTATTTAATATATATTTTATATATGACTCATGTAATTATTAATATTATATATAAAATATATGTCAATTATAAGTCACATGTGTCTATTATAATTATTATAATAATGTCTATTATTCACTAAATAATAGTAATACTCATCTGTTAACTTATAAACATTTTAAGGGGTCTTTTAAAGTTGACTTTTTCAAAAACTAAAAGGAGGAACGTCAAGTCCAGCCCCTAAGCTGGTTTTCCAAGCTGCAGCAGATTTCTGAGGTCCAGCACCTGACTCTGAAACAGAACCACTTTCCTCACCTCAAATGCCATTTACATTAACTGAACGGTCACCAACACCCTTGATACATTTTAACGTCTTGAAAAATACCACACTCCCCGTATTTGATAGGTAGGAAACCCCTGAATTCATTATATATGCATATACATTCATGTGTATATG